GCTGCAGGGATGGGGATGGTCCCTGTGCTGAGGATGTCCCTGTCTGTGGTGCCCCCCCAGGGTGCACACACCGGCTAAAAAATAAGGGGAACGCTTCCAAAATGGGGTCCAGGGTGAGCTGGTGCAGGAACGTGCTGCGTTCTCGTAGCTTAAAGGGCTTTTCCACTCGTCTCTGGGTGCTGGAGAGGATGGGGGGGTTACCCCACACCCTGTGTGGGCCTTTTGTGCTGAGGATGTCCCTGTCTGTGGTGCCCCCCCAGGGTGCACACACCGGCTAAAAAATAAGGGGAACGCTTCCAAAATGGGGTCCAGGGTGAGCTGGTGCAGGAACGTGCTGCGTTCTCGTAGCTTAAAGGGCTTTTCCACTCGTCTCTGGGTGCTGGAGAGGATGGGGGGGTTACCCCACACCCTGTGTGGGCCTTTCCGGGCTCCTCTCTGAGGCACAAGCATCCTTGTGGGGTCTGCGGGGAGGGCTGAGCTGCCAGCGGGTCCAGATCTCGTGCCTCAGTTTCCCCGGCTGCCGAGCAGGGCTGCGACTGCCGCGGGGGATCGGGGGGGGCATCTCCCTCATTCGGTTCCGCGGCGCCCGTCCTTAACCACCGTGGTTTCCCCCCTTTTTCCCTTCCACCGCAGCCCAAATTGAAGTGATCCCGTGCAAGATCTGCGGAGACAAATCCTCGGGGATCCACTACGGCGTTATCACCTGCGAAGGCTGCAAGGTGAGCCCAGGGACACCGGGGGACTGGTGCCGGTGGGTGAGTGGGTGGCCGCGGGGGCCGGCGTCCTGCCGGGTGCTTTCCCAATGCCTTCCCGCATCTTGCGCAGGGTTTTTTTCGGAGGAGCCAGCAGAACAACGCCAGCTACTCCTGCTCCCGGCAGAGGAACTGCCTGATCGACCGCACCAACCGCAACCGCTGCCAGCACTGCCGCCTGCAGAAATGCCTGGCGCTGGGCATGTCCCGAGACGGTGAGTCTCGCCCCGGGGGCCCGTCCGCTCCTCCTCGGGGCAAGTTGGGCTGGTTGGGACCGAAGCTGCTTCCCCTGCCCTGGGAAAGGAGGGTTTTGGGGAAGATTTTGCATTTTCTGTGGGGAAATTTAAATTGCTTCTGTTCCATTGGACCCAGTGTCGGTCTGGGGTGAGGGGGATGCATCGGATGGGGTCCCTGCCCCGCTCAGGGTGCATACACCCCCAAACCACACGCTCCCCCGGGAGTAAA